ATGAGGCAAGCCTGTTGACTATTATTCAGCCACTTGGATGGAAGCCCCAATGGCTCATCATCAAGAAGTCTAACTTCCGTCAATTTGCCGCTTATTGCGCTAATCATCTCTGCTAATGTCATCAGCGCGTAGATTTGTTCTCACAACCGACCCCCCTACCCCGCACTGGTCACATAACTTCTCATTATGACCCTCTAAGCAACATCACCCGGTAATTAGTCACTAGTGAGTATTAAGATTACTTTTCTTGTGTTGGTTTGGAGGGAGTGCTCGCCGACCACGTAGGTGGTCCGGGGTTCGATCCCCAGAGACAGACGCCAGTAGTAGGACTGGCAAAGCAGGAAGGTTGGACATGAGGCTAGCAACCCCATCCTGTAAAAACAAAAGCACCACTGCTACCGAAACTTCAAGCCTCTAGCTTGAAGCTCTATGTTCTACCGGAAACGTAAAGGAATAAAAAAAAGTTATCTTACTGTTCGATATCACATTAATGATGATTTATTAATAGAAGAATACATAAAAACACAGAATACTGCTTCAACGTTTCACCTGCTGACTTGTGAAACCTAGGAAATTCTTGAGGGAATGAGGTCTTGGAGAATCACATCGCACCGCTTCAAACCATCTTTTTTATTCCTTTGCTTTCCCAGTGGAACATAGGCCTTCAAGATCCATCTTTGAAGTCCCAGTCATAGTGGTGTTATTTTACAGGGTGGGGTTGCCGGTCTGGCGGCCAACCTTCCCTCATTGTCCGGATTGTAACCGACTAAAGGAGGTAAAGGTGTGCACCGGTCGGGACTCGAACTCCGGATCATGTGCATGGTCGGCCAGTGGGCTCTACCACTAAACCACCGACGTACACTTCAAATCATATGTATGTATGCTGTTGAACATAAAATTGGGTACATTATGGGCGCACAAAATCTCATAGTTTGTGTGACGATGGCCGGCATACTACCCAGACGTCTAAACGGAAGCAGATGGGGTTGTCTTCAAGGCCACACACACACACTTCGAGACTTTGACTTGACGTCTAATCCATAAGGCAGTGGACAGCACAGTCAGAAGCTACATCCCTCCTCGTGGTTTCCGGTGACTACAACAGGTTTATCATATACCATTCGATCAGTTTGCATTCTGGAGGCCATGTACACCATAGTATATCCTCTAAGAACCGGGATTTTGCAGCTCCACAACCAGCGTTATGGCTTTATTGTTTTTTTTTTTGGTGAGTGAATAGGATATTAGTAGACGACTGAGTCTCGAACATCTCTATTATATAATATCACACTGTCTCATTTCCTGCTTACACTATTCCCGCCCCCTCCACCGCCATACACCTATGTGTATAAGATGCAATGTGTAAATTGTCACAGAACACCAAATGAAAAAAAATCAATACAACCTGCATATTATGAAGAGAGAGAGACAGCAAAAAAACATCACACGAACAACAAACAGCCTAACAAACACAATCCGTAAGTGTCTTTATTTATTCTACGGATGCACATACATACACAGACACAGAGACACGCAAACACACGCGTGCGAACGCACATACACACATACAAAAGAAATAATTGGTCGATAAAAAAGAGACAATTGTTGATATTTAAATAACAATAATATAATGACAGTATAAGAAACAATAGTACAAGTGGCAGGAGTAAAATACGATTAAAAGTCCTGATAGAAGTGTTCCAGATAAAGAAAAGTATCTTTTTTTCTTCTTCCGACATTATAAGTGTAAGCCTATTGTAATTTTCATTCGCTAATAATCATTGATCTCTAGCATCTTGAGGTTGGGGGTAAACTGTTAAGTAAATCACGATCAGGTTGTCAAACTATATCGACTAAGGTGGCTGGGATAAGGGGGGATGGTGCATGCAGAGACATTGCCTTCCTCGAGCAGCTAGCTGACACATGATTAGGCCAAGAAAGAGTTAAGGAGGGGGGTCAAACCAAAACTTGACATCAGTCCATAAAGTCTTTGGTCAGAGGATTTCATCATGAGCTGATATCAGTTAGAGAACCATTGGAAAACCAACAGATAGTACTGGACAGCCAGTTGTTTCGTTGTAGTTTGGGATTCATCAGCAGTATGCACCCTTAGTGCAGGGTTCGAATCCAGGACCTCTTGCTAAAAAGGTGAGCTAGCTCGTAGACCACTAAGCTACTGTGACCCGATCCAATGGCCAGCCCAATTCATGAGATAGCGTAACCACTTCGCAATGTCTTTGACTGTTAGTTTGAGCCAGTTATGTGGGAGAGGTGTAGACTGTCGGGTTGCAGTCATCATGATATTAAGAACTATAATGGTTGGAGACTGATAGTGATATGATTCGAAACTGTGCTGAATGACACAGATGTATTTCTGCTTATTACAGCTCTTTTGAATCCATTTTCTTTCTATGCTTTGTCTACTGTTGTCTTCTACATGGACTGCGGGGCAGCTTAGACTGTTGCACGTCCCTGCTGAAAATTGATCATTCAGACATCTTGAACGACTAGAGGATAGAATTTAGTTAGATAACTCATGAATTGGAACCAATTGGTAATCACATTTCTCAGTGAACTCAATATAATAATTATAATTATTTCCTTTAGTTCCTAGATGAACATAGGGCTTCAGCCAAACGTCCCCATAGCGCGTTCAGTTCTCTGCCAATGTTTTCAACGCTCTGCATCTACCCACATGCTTTCATCTCCTCTTCACATGATCCCCTCCATGTCACCAACACACTGACGACCAACTAAGTCGCCGTTTCCAATTCGGGTTCCACTCGAGCAATGGCCTGGCGTGTGATGTCACTCACTGGATGGTTTATTTTCTCAGAGTATGGTCAATCCACCTCCATTTCTTCCAGCATATTTCTTGCACAGTTGGTTGCTGCTGGGTTGGTTCGCTCATTGTCAGAGATCCCTGTCTGTTGCAGATCTTTTCTGGTCGGCCATCTGATCTTGAGTGAAGTATTGAGCGAAGACAGCTGTTGATGAAGGTGTGTAGTTTGTTCGAAGTGGCCTGCGTGACGCGGCACCAAGTATCTGATCCGTATATTAGCACTGACTTCATATTCAAGTTGAAAATCCGGATCTCATTTTTCATGCTGATTAGTGCTGTTGATCTCCGCACAGACTTCAGAGTAATAAAAGATCGTCTTGCTTTCCCGATCCTCTCTGATATCCTCATCAGTTCTGTCCGCCTGTAGTTGAAACAATACTTTCCAGATAGGTAGGTAAAGGAGGATGCTTCTTCCAGATTCCTCCCATTTATGATGGCCGATTGTTGCCTCTTGTTGTTGTTGCTGTTGGCCAGGAATCTTCATCACCTCTGTCTTCTCTATGTTCACCTGAAGTCCTATCTTCTCTGGATCCTTCTTCTGCCAACTTGTCGCTTTTCACTTGCATATCTTCTAGTTTGTGGGAAGTCAGGCATTTATCATCGGCGATATCCAGATCCTCCAAGTTGTTTGTGTGGGTCCTTTTGGTGCCTGTTTCCTCGCTACCCGCGAGGTAATTTTTATTTTTTATTTTGATTTTACAGCTTGATTCCACACTGTATTTTCAGTACAAGTATGGAATTTTCAGCAAGGATATCGGTTGCCCAAATTCAGGCATACCATAGATATCGGGTGTGCGTCGGCAGGGGATCGAACCCCGGACCATGTGCATGGTCGGCGAGAGTCCTAACCACTGTGCCACCGATGCAGCATTGTACATAGTAACCACCTATTCCCTATTCCATCAAGATGCTCTGTCACCTCGATAATATCTTAAGGTTAACATACTGTTATCTGGTCGATGGTGGCTAATAGTGGCATCTAGGAAGCACGTCATGTCCTATACGGAGACAGTCGGCTGGATGACGTACCAGTGTTATCGTAAGTGGTTCATCACCACTGAGATGCTAACTCAGTATCCACAGTTCTCAACTCAGTAAACTAGTGGATACCGCCTTGGTATTTGAACCGATTGATGCTGAGTTTGAGTAATAGTGGAGACACTATAAATCGATGGAACACAGGCAAATCCAGATAAATAGTCCGAAATCGGACGAAACGCGCATCTTCGACTCCACCTTTACCTGGTGTCAGCTAAATAAAATTTTCTAAATGCCCCTTTGCTGTATTATGACAAATTATACTTAAGAATCATTACCACTTAGTCTTTAAAATGTTATATTTCTGGCCTGTCAATCTACGCATTTAAGAAAAAAGTTAATAAACCAGTCAAACTAATGAAAAGCTCATATAGAAATTATGCAGAAGTCAGTTATACGCATTTCAGCGTAAATCATGAAATGTTTCGGATTGGATACACACGTTTCTTTGAATATAAGACACAGTGGCAAAGTGTACCTTGATTGGAGACTGACTAGTGTCATGAGTGTCAAGCCCTTTGCAGTAAACAAAGGACTAGACATATGACACTAGATAGTGTCCAATCAAAGTATCAGTTGCAGTCCTACAGCCGGAATAGCTTAGTGGTAACGTCCCTGATTGCACTGCTGGGTGACACGGGTTCGAATCTCAGAAGGGAGACATGAGAGTTCCTTCGGGATCGCAGATGCGCTTTGTCATTTAAAATATTACTAAAAACTATAGAGGACTGGACGGCTGATATGTCCACGTTTGAAACTCTTCAGCAGTGAACATTGAAGATCGCTCCAGAGGTCAAACACATGACTCTCAAGTTATGAGATAAGCCCGTTGACTATTGACCTATAAATTCTAACTTCTTTCAATTATCGAGGAAATACACGCTGAAATCAATAGAAATCTTCACAGAGAGACGAAATGGGAATGTACAATCCCTTGCACTTTAATGTCTATAGAATGGTTGTCCTGAGATTCTCACGAGAATTCGTCCTCGATGAGGTCTACTACGTCATGGGATAAAGGCGTTATGCTATTAAGAGACATAAATATGAATGAACACAAAAGAAACACAGGCAAACAAGAAAACATTCACCATTTATCATGTATCAACAGCTTACTTACCTTATTCGCTGAATTTAGACAAACAGCAGCAGTCGGTGGGATACGTAAGACAATATGACCAGTCCTATTGACTGGCAGCCAAACACGTGCAGGTAGATGTAGATTTATATTTGCCAATTCTGCTTGTAAATGAGCAGCTGAAGATAGATGAATAAAGAAAACAAAACAAATTCTATTTAAGGAGAATTTACATGATAAATATATGAGTTAATTAATACTTTCTGCTATCTATTTACTTACTGAAACAAATGTGGTAGATTATGGGCACCGAAAGAGGAGCTACATAAAATCTAATAGTTTGTTCGAGGACAGGGACACTGTCCCGACATCCAGGTAGAAGTAGCTAGTTGTCTTGTAGGACAACATCTCCAATCATTTGACTTGAAGTCTGATCTACAAGATAGTGGAGCAGCATCAGGAGCCACATCTCCACAGTTTCCTGCGATCAAAACAGGTTCACAAGCTTTTTAACCCGTCCGGATCCTCAAGCGCATGTACAGCATATATTGGGAATTACAGTATCCCAGCTTCTCTAGTATGTCCATCATTCCAGTTGTAAGTGCCAGACTTTCGAATTCTCCCGTTCTCTTTTCTTGAGGAACACCACCGTGGTATGAAGGCGGTGAATACGACTTACTAGGAAGAGGCTATGGGAGCGTAGCCACATAAGAACAATGCGACAGGAAGACCCAAGTCTACCTTCCCCCACCCACCTAACGGCCGTGTACCAGGTCACTGTTTATGCGGTTAAAAAGCCCTGAAAGTCTGAATATTTCAACAAAACACTACATTTGATTGGACACTAGTAACTAAAGTGACGTGTATAGTCCCTTCTCTGGTGCAGACTGAATTCTATCGGTCAGGTTTGCAATGTGGCCACCATGCCACTAGGTAGCTCGCCATCACGGTACACATTGATTTGATGATATTAGATAGTTGGAAAAAACCGGCAGGACTGATAGAATTCAGTTTGCACCAAACAAAGGACTAAACACGTCACACTAGTTACTCGTGTCCACTCAAAGTACCCACTACAGTCCTACAGGAGGTCAATCGTGAGCCCGAATGGCTCCTCAGTGGTGACGTCTCTGACTGCAGTACTCACTGGGTGACGCGGTTTCTAATCTCAAGTGGGGCATGTGTTCCTTCAAGGCAGTTGCAGATACGCCTTCCCGACTGGTGAGTGCCAACTAGCACGAAACCTAGGTCAGGTGGGACTTTCTGTGGCTGATTGCCTCCAACTATCTAATATCATCAAAACACAACATTCTTGCTTCAGTCGATGGAAAAATATGGGAAATTCAGTGGCGAGAAACTATAAATAGTAGGAAGAGGCTAAGATTTGAATCGATTTATTTTTAGCTCTTAGCTATATAGCTGGAAGGTGATCTTATGTTTTCAATTTTACATTTATGTTGTTACATGGACATGATGATTGCAATGGAAAATCTTTGACTTCATACAACCGAATATCTCCGACTTTACATAATCTATTCGATGAATTCATTTAACCACTTAACTAGTCTAATATTGTGTGTGTTGGGAATCCAAATATGTATGATGAATTTTATGCTTAATAAAGCTATTCTCACCGTCATAGACCAATAATTTGTTGATATTTTCGTGAATTAGTGAAGCGAAGGGTACTTGACGGAGAACAGTCGTATTCAGTATTCATCTTGTGGTGTGAGCTGGCTGCAAGCCTAAATTGTAGACAACGATTTACGTCAATGTTGCCTGCTGAATCGGAGTCATGAGAAAAAAACAATAACAAAGCTTAACCTTGAGGATGTCAACAACCAATCACAGCAGACTTTGAGTGGGCGGATACAATTCGCAGATATATGGCCTAACAAGCAGTACAGAATAACCTTGAACAAGAAAACAACCAATCAGAAGGCGCCACTTTTTCGCTGACCATTTTATACATAAAAATCTAAATATCTGTTGATTTTCTCAATAAACGATCCGTTGCGTTGCCCTTGTTTTCTGTCGTTACAATCTGAATCGCCGAGCGACAGACTTCCTAGACGAGCAATGTTATAGGTGACAGAGGATTAGATTGGAAAAGAGTTAAGGGGTGGGGTCAAAACTAAAACCTGTCATCTATCCATGAAGTTTTTGACTGTTAGGTTTGAACCAACCACATAGGGAGTTGTAGACTGCCTGACTAGGGTTTTCAAGATTCTCAGAGACCAATGGCCGGAGACTATTGGTGATGTGGTTCAAAAATGTACCAATAAAATCAGATCAATCACTTATCGACGAGTTATTTGAAGAAGTCAGTTACACTAGACGAACAGATCCTTCACAATACCGCCCTATACAAGCCAAACAGTTATTGTGTGAAGCCTAATGACGCTTACTACCTACCCACCTACCTACCCAGTTACCGGCTAGACTGTGAAGTAGATGGAACGATACTCGAAACTGAGACTCTTACATGTCGACAGCCGAGTACCACATCTTCCTAATCGATTAAATTTTTTTTAAATATCAAGAAAAGACGAAACGAGATGTATACACGACAGGCGGGATTGAACTACTACTATACACTAAATAACAGGTATTACATCAAAATAAATCAGGCACACACATAGAAATACACATCCGGTACACCGAAACAGAGTGAAGCCCCAATAATAAAAACAACCCAACTGGTGTGTGTGTATAGGTGTTTGTCGCCGTTAAAGTACAAATATCAAAAGAACAACAAAAACAACAGGCATAAAGACCAGTAAAATTCGTACCATCAAAAGTTTCACAGCTGAGATATACACCAATTACAAAAATTTGAACTAAGTATTATCTATTAAGTAATATCAAAGGTCAGTCACTCAATTTTTCTACGTGCATCCCTGTGGTGAAAAACAATATAACAGTCTGTAGTTTTGATTTAGTCAATTATGGACACATGAGTTAGACATTTAAAGGTGACATATATCGTTGAAGTGATCAACTGGTCTATCCTTTACGTTCCCAGTGGAACATAGGGATTCAAGTTAGAGTTGATTGGTGGATGGTGACTAGCAATGGAATTCAGACGGAACGCGCGTTTCGTCCTATTTGGGACTCGTCAGCTAGCTGGATGTACCTGCATTCCCCAGTGAATGATGATGTTCCCACCACGGAGGCTCGAACCCGGTGGCCATAGTTTCAAACGCCAAAGCGTTATCCACTAGACGACTTGGGCCACGAGACCGGGTGCTTTGGTTCAATCAGTCGACTGGAAAATCTAAAATTGAATTAAATATTCAAGTTAGAGCTTTCAAGTTTCTGTAGGAGTGGTGTTTATCTTTAAGGGGATGGGGTTGCTCACCTCATTTCCAACCTTCCCATCTTAACAGTCTTATAACTGGATTAGCTGGGTAAAAGAGTACGTCGTCAGTGGGGATTCGAACTCCAGACCATATGCGTGGTTGGTAAGCGTTCTACCGTTGTACCTGTACTGGACTCCTTTTTACGCCGCTGACTTCGTATTCTCTGGCTTAATTATGACTCGACAATGCATGAAGGATAAACTACCCTGCTTATGGGCATCTGCTCTTTCACATGGTCCAGTGGAGCTGACAGCATAAAGTTGTAGCATATCGAAATTCAGCAAAAATAACCTTCACCCACTTTTAGCGGTGTAACCGAGCATCAGTTGGTAGGATTAACCATCATACAAATGCGACTGCTAGTAGGTAGTGAATCCCGTAGATTCCTGATATCAATGACCATCACTATTACGTCAATTTGGTTGAAGGATTTCATCATTAGCTGACAACAGTTAGAAAAGCATTGGAAAACCAGCTGGGAGTACTGAACAGCTGTTTCGTCTAACTTTGTAACTCCTCATCAGTACGCACCCACTACCGGGGTTCAAACTCAGGACCCAGGATGAAACAGTTGTCCAGTACTCCCAGATGGTTTTCCAATGCTTCTCTAACTGATGTCAGCTCATGATGAAATTCTACAACCAATCAAACAAAAGAATCCCAACAAAAATCAATAATTGAAAATTGATCCGATGCTCACTAGTGACTGGCCCTATTTAGGTAGGCAGTTACCTGGGGTTTAAGTGGAAAGTCTTGGCCAGTAGGGTATATTAGGTCGAAGATGAGGACAGCGCGAAGAAGTCGAGCTATGTTGTGAATTGGCAGAAGTTAGAATTCATGCACTAGCTGGCCATTGGATCAGGTCGCAGTGGCTGCCGAATGGTCTACGAGCTCGCTAGTCTTGTAACCGGAAAGTCCTGGGTTCGAACCCTTTCATTGGGTGCGTACTGATGAAGAGTCCCAAACTAGACTGACGCAACAGCTGGCTGTGGAGTACTTTCAGGTAGTTTTCCAATAGTTCTCTAACCGATGTCTGCTCATGATGAAATCCTCCACCCAATCAAACAAAACAAAGTTTTACACACAGATTCCTTAAATGTAGCCGCCACTTGCCCCCCCTCAGCCGCGGCGAGAATGTATCTACGCTAGTGACAAATTATCTATTGCTCTTAATCCACAACTGTGTCTAAAAATGTAAACAACTAAGAGGGGGAGATTCAAATAAAACGCCATAAAACATGTGCACACATACAAACACAAGAAAGACACTTACTTCTTTGCTCTTTAGGACTGATTGGCACCAATCGATGAGCTATTCTTAACAGGCCATCAACAAAATCCCATTCAGGTACTAATCGAGGCACTAAATATCTTTGCATTGCTAATGTTTGACCGCTAGCAGATATGTAGGAGTGATACAATGGACAACGAGGTAGATGATAGGAATTGTCTGATGACTGTACAACATCGATATTATTGTTATTGTGTTCCACGCCTGGGCAATCTTCGTCACTGCTTCCACCTGCGTCATCGTCATCATCATTGTGATTACTGACAACATTTGGGACGGACATATACAATCCACTATCTAGTGGACTTAACGACGCTGTTGTAGAGTTGCATAACTGGCTTGTTTGGATGTCATTGTTCTCTGTCCCCTTAGATGTTCTTATTGTTGTTTGGTTTGGAGAACAAGAGGAGGAGGAGGCAAGCGTTTTACTATGATTTCCAACAATATTGATAGCAGTCTTAGAGGCGACAACAGTACGATCTAAAGAAGATGATGATTTGACACAAGATGGAGGTGGACAATCAATAGTTGATGATAAATTCAATCGTTGCAAACTGACTGATGACTGAGGGCATTGAGAAAGATGCGATGATTGTGGTATAATCTCTTTGGTTACAATCTATGAGAAAAATTAATATTTTGTTGTTACAAAAAAAAAAGAATAAAACAATAGAGTTAGCAGACAATCAACACAATTCACAAGTTGTGTGTTATGCAATAGTGGTAGAATGTGCGGCAACCACGAACGTGGTTTAGAGTTCGATTCCTAATCGGCGGACATTTAGAACTTACCAAGCTTACTTACTAACCGGTGGTGAGCCAGGAAAGAGGATGGGGGGGGGGAGATTGTCTGTCTGTCTGTTTTCAACATAAAACTTTGCAGGGATGTGCAGCAGTTCAAGTCGCCACACTCCCTCCTTGTAGAACACAAAGCAAGAGAAATGCACAATAGAGAAAGTAGACAGGGATATGAGACAAAAGGAATAGTAATAACGAAGAACAATATAGTTTCATTGGAAATTAAGGAGTCATAAGGAGTCGATGCATCTGCGCCAGCCATTGAGAACGACTTTGAGCCATATGACCGATAATTGTCTCCAGCCTTCATTGGTTTTTACCGTCCCGAGGACCACAACGAGGAAGCCAGTCTACGCCTCCCTATGTGGCTGGCTGGCTTAAAGTAACTCTTATCGATTTCATTGACTGATCAGGCTGTGTTTTGGTTTGACCACCAATCACTAGCTCTTTTCTAACCTGATCCATCCTATGTGAGCTAACGTCGCCCGTCATCGGGGAAGGCGATGGCTAGTCAGTCAGGCGTAACACATATCCCAATTAACTCTCTCTCAATTGATTTCCCCTCCTTATCTAGCACTCGACGCCTAACCTCAATATTGCTCACCCTATTATACCATTTCACACGGGAAATATAACGCATGCACCTATGATCAAAGACAACTAGTCTGTTCGTGTATTTCACTCTCAATGGCCACGTCTCACAGCCATACAGGAGGACGAAAAAAACTGCTGAGCAGTACACACGTTCATCGGTCGACAGCTAACCGGATATCACATCTACGCCAGAGAAATGTGTTAACTGACATATGCGAAACTAGCCCTATGTATCCGTGCTGAGATTTCGATAGCACGGATGGCTGATGCAATTTCCCAAAAGAGTGAGTGAATTGGTCAACGCACTCTACCACTTCACACCCTATTTCTAAGCTAGGAGTCAATGTAGTCCAGTCCTGTAACCTCATCATCTTACATTTGACAAAGGGAGCGAATCGCATGTCAAACATTCGAAGACTGCTACTCCTGAAGGTGTTCAGAAGACTCTTCATTTTGCAAGAGTCATCACGTAGAAAGACAATATCATCTGCATACTCTAAGTCAACGAGATTATTCCCTGGTAACAAGTCAATCCTTGAGTCGCTGAAGTGAGTTAGGGTTAATTCCATTAGTTGGGGATAGGAGGCATCCCTGACGACGGACACCACTAGTTGTCACCACCTCAGATGACAACTCGCGTAAGCTCTCACCTAGTTGGCTGCATGAGTTCGAGCAGAGTGCCTTGGTCAGTGCAATGTATTTTCTCGGAATTCCCTTCATAGCCAAGCGTCTCCAGAGTACCTCTCGGTTGACAGAATAGAATGCCGCCTTTAGCTCAAGAAATATGACGATTGTTGGACGCTAACGGTAAGAATGCCTATGATCAATACACCATGAGTAACTGTCCTCATCTTCGATCTACTATACCCTACTAGTCAAGACTTCCCACTAGAACACCAGGTAACTGCCTACCTGAATAGGACCAGTCGCTATTGAGCATTAGATCAATTTTCAAATACTGCTTTTGTAGGGATTTTGTTCGATTGGTTGTAGGACTTCATCATGAGCTGACATCAGTTAGCGAAGCATTGGAAATTCAACAGGGAGTACTAGACAGCTGTCTCGTCCTGGATTCGAACCCTGGCGGTGAGTGCGCACTGATGAAGAGTCCCAAACTAGGCAGACGAAACAACTGTCCAGTACTCCAAGGCAGATTTTCCAATGCTTCTCTTACTGATGTCAGCTCATCATCAAATCCTTCAACCAATCGAACAAAATCCCTACAAAATCAAAACTTGCAAATCTCAGTTTCTATGGTTAAAAGAAGAATATCCACTAAGTTGACTCCCTCGCTATCTCTCTCCCACCTTTTCAAAGGTTCGCGCAGTCTAGTCTATGAGACTATTTTTCTCTTTCTACAATTTGTCGGCAGATTTGAGAAGAGATTTGAGAAAAGTAAACAGTAAAAAAAGAACTAAGACCGTCACAAGAGTAATTATTGTCAGTGTGTGTATGTGCGCGCGTGTGTGAGTGCCATGTGCATGACTTGTGTTTGTTTCATCAGTCTGTTTTTTTATAGTCAATGTGTTTTTCTTTTAACATTTGAACAAATAGATCGATAAATAGTAATAATAATAGTAATACTAGTAATAACAATAAGAATAAAACACCTCACTTTATTAACATGTTAAATGCTGTAATTTGATCGACTTTTTATACTTCAATCTATCTAATATATATAAACTCTCTTTTCTTTCTACCTTATAACGAAACGTGATATGCATAATATAAGAACTGATAAAAGAGCCTCAAGTATTTGTTTGGTAAGAATACAATGAACCGTGACAGATTTCTCATGTACCAGAGATTGTGGGGGTGGCGGGGATATGGGGGAAGATGTTGGTAATACTGCCCAGCTACTGTGACAGGCTGTAGTTGGTGGGGTGCCAGTCTCGAACCCTGCCACCAGTCGCTTTAAGTCTTTTTTTTCCTCACGTTCCCAGTGGAACATAGGGCTACAAGCTTGTGGCTTGAAGTTTCTGTAGCAGTGTTTATTTTACAGGATGGGGTTGCTAGCCTCATGCTCAACCTTTCCTCTTCACCAGCATTATTTCTGGCTTAGCGAGGTAAAGGAGTGCGTCGGCAGGGGATCGAACCCCGGACCATGTATATGGTCAGCGAGCGTCCTAACCGCTATGCCACCGACGCCCCACTTTAAGTCAATGAACCATAACTTCATATCGGTCTTGTATTCACTTCAAAAGCTTCTTGAAGCTTTCCGTTGTGAATCACTTGATATGTTGCACCATCATAAGGCTGTTGAATGAGGTTTATACAGTGTTGAAGCAGCTTCAAGGCAGACGCCGTTGAAGGTCTTTTTTAATTCGATAAAGTTGACGTAAAGAGTTGAGACTGTCATTTAATGATGTGTTTGATGATGATGAAGGTGCATGGCGTTGTAATTTGGTCAGTAAATGATTTGCTTTCACTGAATCCAGCTAGTTCCGCGTGGCATTTTGCATTTAGAGCATTTTTTCCGTTTTTTTCGGGTTGATGCGGCGTAATATTCCGTTCAGGGTGAACAGCAGAAGCATTATTCCTTACTAGTTTTATTTATTAAAAAACAGACTTAATTTTCTTTTTCCTTGTCAGTTTGAAAAGGTAGTCGTTCTTTCAACCAGTAGGTACCTTTTATTCTTTCCAAACACTTTCTGCAATAGTGGTGAGTGAGCATAACTAGTGTCATGCATCTCGTCTTTTGCTTGGCATGAACTGGGTTCGAATCCCGTGGGTGCGTACTGCTGAAGAGTCCCAAACTGGGACGAAACAGCTGTCCAGTACTCCCAGGTGGTTTTCCCAATGGTTCTCTAACTAATGTCAGCTGATGGTGAAAATCCCGTAACCAATCAAATCCCTACAAACCAATACTTGAATATCGATGAGATGCTCCCTGGCGACTTGCCCTATTCAGGTAGGTAGTTACCTGGGGTTCTAGTGAGAAGTCATGACCAGTAGGGTGCAGCAGGTCGGGTGTGAGGACAAATACTCACCGAAGACATTGGCTAGCGGTCGCGCTATGTCGTGAATTGGCAGAAGTTAGAATTCATGGGCCATTGGATCGGGTCCCAGTGGCTCAATGGTATACGAGCTCGCCTTGTAACCAGAAGGTCCTGGGTTCGAATCCCGGCGGGTGCGTACTGATGAAGAGTCCCAAACTAGGACGAAACAGCCGGCTGTCCAGTACTTCCAGGTGGTTTTCCAATAGTTCTCTAACTAATGTCACCTCATGATGAAAATCCTGTAACCAATCAAATCCCTACAAACCAACACTTGAATTACATCAGTCAAGTTTGCGATGTGGTCACTTTACTAAGTAGCTAGCCAACATGATGCACTCAGAATTTTTGTTATCAGATAGGGCAAAGTTAAACTTTAGGCACCACTAGCTACCAATCAGCGAACGACCTCGAACGCACCAATCACGTGAAGGAGGCATTTTTGTGTATGGAATACATATATATATATATATATATATATATATATATATATATATGAAAAAGACGTATAAAAACTGTATGAAAGTGATAAAGAGGATACCTTTCTCTCACATTTGAAAAAAATACCTCTCAGTTTTAGGTTGGAGTATCAACAGAGTATAATTCCATTGTGGGTAAAATCTATTTTGATAAAGTCTCACAGTGTTGTTATACAGTAATATTTTCTGAGCATAAACTGTGCTCGAAATGTTGTCATCAGTAAATGTTACTGCATAATATTGTGTGAATTTATCATAATACATTTTACCCAAAATGAAATTATACTCTACCTCCACAATGCACAAGTTCTATTCTTACGTCAACACAGTAATTTAACCACATTCTATGCATGTAATTATTTAGGTCTTCTAACCCTAATCTTTCCTTAACCTAGCCCTAACGTGAAAATATGCCTAAACTAACCCTAATCTAACTTGAACTAACGCTAATGTAGCTAGCCTCTTATAGATTAATCTAACCCTAACTTGTCATTGGCGTAAAGCTCGACTTAATCTTTCCCAAATCTAAGGTGAAACTTGCCAGATATCCCATATAATAACAACATAACACTTCGATGAGCATATTTTTATTGATGATGACAACATTATTTGTCAGGTTTCAGTAACTTGTGCAGTGAGCGTTTCAAGGTCATTTGGTGCGGTCGCACTCCATTGGTAGTTAGTGGTGCTTAAAGTTTAACTTGGCCTCAGATAGTTGGAGGCAAAAACAGCAGGAAGCCTTCGATCTAGGT